CTTCGTTGACTGCACCCTCCTTTGGAGTTCTTCCAACTATTTCTTGATCCCTTTGTCGCACCTTGTAGAACCGCTACAACCAGGAGGACTGAGATTTTGATGTCTTGGCCTTGTAGAACTTCACGGGAAGAGCAATTTTGGTACGTACCATGTTTGCGAGAAGAATCTTGGACTATCAGAGGGGTCAGGTTGCTTCTCGTTTGCAGATGGGAATAGGTGGAGAAGATGATTGTACAAATCTTCTTTTTGTGAGAGAGCTGATTTCGAAATTTGGAATACAAAGTCTCTTTGTTTCCGGTGAGCTTACACGGTCTCTGCTTAAAAAGGTGTGTCCAAGTGTGTTGTGCACAATTGGAAGATCGGAACAGAAATGATCGGGTGACAACTGGAAGACATGTTTGTGGATATTTTGTGGGGTCAAAAAACATTGTTCGTTAAAAATTTTTTAGAAGACGATCTCACGATCAATGTAATTGATGGTGTAAACTAGACTGGGAAGGTTTGACTAGGACTAACCTGGTTAAACGGACTCTACTAGGTAAGAATAACACACAAGGAATTAGGAACAAAACAAGAATGATTTAGAGCAAGAAAGAGTTCTTGTGTCCGCACTTACATTTCTCACTCTGTCTCAAGAGTGTACAAGTTTGTGTGAGTGAAAGTGAATGTCCCCTCCTCCCTCTATTATAACATATTTATATATAGTACAGGAGGCCAAATTGCTGAGTTTGGGAAACACAACTATAAGCACAATGATGATGGTCTGCCCTTTTATGTGCTAATCTTTCAGATGCTTGTCTCACAGGGATTTAACAAGAATGATGGTGAACAAGAAGAGCCCCTCGAACCACTGCTGTAGATTGACAACAGACATTTTGATGGGAAGCACTTCAATGATATGGAGACACTTGATCAAGCAACTCATGGCGTGCCCGGCGTACTCAAGTATCTGGAACACAAGCTAAAGCAAAACAAGGAAGCACTTCTCCTGGTGGATCAACAGAGGAAAGCCCTTGAAGATGAACGCTGGAGTCTCATATGGTTGAAAGAACATGTTACTCACAGTGCTCAAGCAGAAGGTGCATCATCTCAGGGGAGAGTACAAAGGAGGAGGGAGACAGTGCTACCGATTATTCAGCTTAAGTGGCATTCTCTCTACAAACTATTTGAATTTCCAAATTGGCATTATTTTTGGTTGGGTTGTTCTGCCCTGTTTCTGATTTCAAGACATATTGCTCTGCTGTTTTTGCCATGACTACTAGACCTATTTCTTTTGGATGGTTCAAACTTGGCTTGTTATCACTACATCTATGTTTGCACTTGGTTATCTACATTCTCATCTCGACTATTTTTTTGCATTTCTGTGACATGGTGTAGGTACACTCTCCAGCTCAGGTGTTAAATTTCATAGCGTGTTTTGTACCTCTCTTGCTCAGGTGTTGAATGTTACTCTTCTCTATTCCCACTCATTCTTGAATAAATTTTGGCTCATTTTTGAACAAAAAAGGGGGAGAAGAGGTTCAACAGGCCAGAGAGTCTAGTATATTTGTTTTTGTCCAAAAGGATGGCCAAAGGGGGAGATTGTTAGTTCTTTTATAGTTTACGAAGTTAGTTACAAAGGGAGAGCCTCTTGTCTATTGTTTGTTGGCCTTATCCTTGTGACAAAATCAAATAGTAGGAATGTTTGTACGTAATATCTAGCTGGATTTGGTGTAGAGTCCTGCCATGGTAGTGTCTACCTCTACGTGCTGGAGAAGACTTCCTGGAGAAGGACTCCTACGAGGCTGCCATAGAGTCCCACGCAGTCTAGGAATGTGATTTGCTGAAGAGTTCAAGTATGATCATGACCAGGGTTCTCATATGTTCATATATATATGTATATATATATATATATATATATATATATAGATTTTGGTTCAAATGAGAATAGAATCTAGTGAAAGAAATAAGAAAACATTTCCACCGTTAGATTTACTGGATTGCATCGCCTATTAGATTGCATCTGCTAAGGGTAATTATGTATTTTCGTAACTCTTTCCCTTTCTGCATTTCTATTATATTCAGTTTCGCAAGTCTAGCGCATGTCAAATGTTCAATTCTAAATTTCAAATAGTTTCTAGAGTTTTATCTTCCGATCCAGATTTGTCTCTCCGAATTAAAACTTTTTTCAACATTCTCAAGATTTACGTTTCCCTAGAGTAGTTTGTTACTTTGTTGTTGTCTTCGGTGTTCATCGGAAAAGGTAAAAGACAGGGCTGTATTGTGAGTCCCCACATGGATCCACGTACTTTCTTTTAATTTCCTATACTAGTGAATTTTTAGAATTTCATTTGTTTGCATATATTCGTCACTATTTTAAAATTCTTGTTTCTATCTACTACATCTAATTTCTTTTTCATTTGTTTACATAGATAGATATGCGCATCATAGCCTTATTTGCCCAAATTGATTGGTTTTAGTTTTTGGACTTATAGTGTATATCTATTCGAATGATGCATCCAATTCATTTAATTACATCTTAAAAATTTCAGTGTTTATCTAATCCTTCATATTTCTAAATTTTTTGTATAAAAATATGTGCGTATCTGATTGATTTGTTTTACCCAATTTCCAGTATGTGTTTTTTTTCAACTTGCATGGTGCATCTAATTTCTATTTTGTTGCATTTTGTTTTCCCATTTCCTATTCCTCTGCGCATCTAATTCATTTTTTCCTAATTCATAATTTTTATGATGCATTTTGTTTTTTCATATTTGTATTCACGCTTTTATTTCCTTTCTTATTTTTTACTTTTTGTTTACTTTTCTCTATTTGTTAGAAATTGTTGGGCTTGACAATGATCGATGTTGGACAATTAGGACTTCATTGGAGTTGACTGATTTTATTTTTTTCCTTACTTATTGTTTGTTTTTTCATGTTGGTGCATTATGAGAATCTGCATAATGCATTAATATGAGAAGAAAATACATTTTTCAGAATCAATGTAAATAATAGATAATGCATTCTCAAAAAAAATTGATGCATCTCGGTGAAATCTTCCTAATACAAATATGTTGCATCTGTGTATTCTAGATAATGCATTTTCAGCAAACAATGATGCATTTAAAATGTTATGTGATACATTTAGAAATGGGTTAGAGACACGTTGAATGGTGCCTATTTTAAATTATAAAAATGTGCATTTAAGACATCTAAATGTAAGATGAGAGAATATAAAAACAAATTGTTGCCTATTAACTCAGATGGTAGAGCGATATCTATATATTATGGATGTGAGTTCGAATCCCGCATAGGCAAATTATTTCTCATATCTCTACTAGAGATGTTTTGAATGCAACACATTCCAAGATTTTTTCATCACATACAAGGTCACTACTGATTCATTATTCACTAATCCAAAAATCAATTGAATAACAAAGAATAAAATATAAGGTCAAATCACAATGCATTTATTGGTCATCATAGTGCATCTCCCAAGAAAAATCCAGAAACTTAAGATATTAAAAATTGTTTCCTAACAAAGATCCGTTTTCAATGATACATTTTCACTCTTTTTAAATTCGGTGTCAAGTCAAACTTGGAATTCTAATTTGGGATGGGGGAGTAGCATAAAGAGAATGTCACATTCTGAAAAAGCAGACTAAAAATTATACAGTATATACATTTGGTAAGAAAATAGAGAAAACAAAATTTATAAATTTTACGCCTTACTTTGAAATTAAATGTGAGACGCAGATAATATAAAAATCTAATATTCAATATAGGTGTCGTTTTATAGATCTCAACGAGAGATATTCAACGATATGTTATTTGTCAAAGACAGACTTGTGTACAAAAAGTTAGGTACGGAGTATAAAAAAAGAGAGTTGTACCATAATTAAATACGGATCCTACATAAGGATTGTTTTTTTCTTTTTCCTTGTTGCGTTATTACTGAGTATTAATATCACTAAACCATCTAATTACGTTTATGCCCTTAAAAGTAGAAAAAAGGGGATCAATTCCTATTTTTATGCCTCGTAATAAATGCCTACTTTTTTAAACGTGTGATGAGTCATTAAAGATTATTATCATCACAACCGTTCATTACATATAATTTAATGGATAATATTTATTCTTATTTCTTTCACAGTGGATCATTCTCACTTGAACCAGCCCCTATATATATATATATATATATATATATATATATATATATATATATATATAGGACCTTACGTTGAGAAATGTGAGAGCGAGAATATACAATTTCACCGAGAGATTGAGAGAGGCAAAAACCCTAGCTGCAAGGAGAGATCAGAAGGGAACCATGCTTGGATTCTTCTGATATACTGTGTTATGATGAGCACAAGAAGTACGTGGTTGATTTACTGATCGCATCACTGATTCATGTTTGGTTTTGCTGAAAATCGTTTCCAGCTGGTGAACTAGGAAGGGCTGGAGAAAGGGCTGATAGCACGTACAATAACAGAAGTTATCAAGGTTGGTGTAATAAGCCATTGGGAGAAACACTAACAGAGTTATGTGTTTAAGTCATCTGTAGTAGATTAGTTCAATCCACTAATTGGTACCTATGGTGGTTGAAGTTCTAATCTTTGCAGTGATTTAGTGGATGGACTATTACACGGACGTGGGCCCCGCAGAGTAGGAGAATTTATCCGAACTGCGTAAACAATTCTTGTGTCTGGTTTACTGTTTTTTATCTTTCTTGTTTGTGTGACTGTTTGTGACAGAGAAAGTGTTTCAGCACTTTGTTTGTCTCAGTAAACTAAGTGTGTTGTGTGGTTGAATCAAATTGTTCGGAGAGAGCGAATTTTCGGTGGCTGTGAATCTCTACAACAATTTCATAAGTTGCGAAAGAGGATATGACTGATCAATTTTCCTAGTGGTTCTCGAGTATTCTCCGTCATTATTAGTTCGTGATTGGTCTTGACTCGATCGGTCACTTTTTGGGTCTGAGTCGAGTATAAGTTATACCCATTAGCACATGTGGATGAGAGAGACAAACACGCAACTGCCGTGCTACAGTATCTCTCTAATATTCGATCCTACCCAAACGGCTCAATCAAACGGTAATTGGAGCTCCTACTCTAAAAATGCCGGTGAGAGTAGTGGAGACCTCACCTTCTTCATCAACACCTTGGCCATGTTCAGGTATCCAACCCCATTATTTCATAAAAAAGCCATCATTTAAATTTAATTTACTACCAACAAATTCTTTGTTCCAATTTAAATCCATTTTAGGGATTTGTATTACGGGTGCTCCCATTCTTCTCAGTTTCGATATTTTTTTATATTTTATACGAGTACTGGTTTTCAACATTTTTAACCTAGGTCTACAGAAACGACCTAATAATTTTTCTAATATTAAATTTCATAGTGTGATGTTTTATCGCTCTTCGCATGCAAATTGGTCTGTGATTACATCACGATTTTTTGTTATTAGCACTTTCTGTTCATTAGAGATAATTACAATTTGATTTCACAGAGTTTAACATAAGTGGTGAAAAGTAAAATATGTTGTAGAGTAAAATGTTTTTGGTTGGAATTTGATTATAAAAGAGAAAATGTTGTGAGTCACATTTCCTGTATTATATGCAAGAATATAGAACATTAAAAGAGCAATTAATCAATTAGTTTCTTTTAAAATTTTGAACATGGAGTTTTAGTACTCATCGGTGTTTCCTATACTAAGGTGGAACTCAGGGAAGTACTATGCCTCAACCTTGCGCTCTTCTAAGTGCTGGACAGGTGAGCTTCCTCCATTCTACCATTATTTTCTTGCTTGTGTCATTTTCAATTGTTTTCTCCAAAAATTTCAATACTGCTGATCATCAATGCATTCTTTGTGCTATCATTGTCATCCAAACTGCTATGACATTTTAGTGTAAAATGTAAATGACCTATGAACGGGAACCGCGCGTTCTAAGAACCACAATCAAAACATTAATATACGGTTCCAGTTAAGGTTCTTCGGTTCTTCATTTTCTGGATTGGAATCAAACCGTCCCCACCCGTACTCTCAGTCCTAAGAACTAGCACCGTGTGCTAAGATTCCGGTGAAGGTTTCTGGTTTCCTGGAATTGGAACTGGGCTGTGTCATCCTCTACATTCACTGATTGAGCACCATGCTAATGGAGGTCTACTGGTATTAGTTATGTTCCTCTTTGTCAGTCTTGTTAAATACTAAAAGCAATTTAAGTTTTAATGAAAAAATGGATTTATTGTTTTGTGAGCCGCCCCATCCAATTTATGAAGTGCCACCGTGATAACCACGTGTTCTATAAGGGAATTTTAATCATCTGCGATTTGATAGCACTGCTCTTTGTATTTGTGCGTACAATTGTGTTTGCAAAGAGATGGATTAACAACCACTCCCATGTTGACAGTTAAACTAATTTTGTTTTCATATTGAATTCAATAATTTTATGTATACTTTTGTGACTAGCCGTAGTGCCAATGTTGCTGCTATTTGTTTTTTCTTCTTTTTCTAATTTTGCTTTGCTGTTTACAGACTTTCTCTGGAACACAGAATGTCTCAAATCAGCAAAAGGATGAAGCATGGAGAGTAAATGTTCAAATTCAAGGTTGTGATCTTGACCATGGATATCTATGTGGCACCATGGAAGCCCTGAATGTTCCCATGGCTGACACACCGGTAAGCACCTTCACTATGACTAACCAATCTCTCTGCTTTAAACCTTTAAAACATATTTTTGTGTCCATTGTATCATGATGTGTGTTTGTTCATTGTGCCCAAGTACTTTCTAGGAAAATAATTTTTTTTGAGTTTACCTTTTGGGAGAGTAGTGTTTGGTTATCATCCAAAAAAAAACTTTCTAAGAAGTTCTTGATATTACAAATTTTTAATCACGAGGCATTACATTCTAAAAGAGAGAATACTGTTTCCTCTGGTCTAAAAAGCTCAACAATTGAGCTTTTGAGTTTAGAGGGAAAGTTGTTTTTTCTTCTCCCTTAAATTCCTTGACACACACCATCCGCCTAGGAGAAGCAAGTTTCCCAGGCATTCTCCCCGTTGATGCAATATTTACTTTTTAGTAATTGAGAATGTGCTGGAAGGTTCTTATAATCCATGCATCCATAAATTAACTAACTTCATTGACTTCACGAAGTTTAAAAAAGTTATTGAAAAGTAAAAAGTATGTGGATATAATTTGTTTACAGGAGAGAGGATTGTAGGTAGCCGCCTGTTCTTTTCCTGTCAAGTAAAAAATGAAGTTGGTAATTTATTTTAGGATGAATAGAAAAAGAAAAAAAAAGTATATTTAGGGACGAGGGGAGTAGGGGACTATGATTTAATTGTCTTTGCGGTGTCTTCTTTTGGGTTGGAAACGTTTACTTCCAATTTTTTTAACTCCTTGGGTTTTTCAACTCTTAGTTTTTTCGAACTGCTTCCATTTTTTAAATTCCTTCCAATTTCTTCCAACTCATTCAAATTTTTTCTAACAACTTATTATGGTTACTATTACTATTATCATGATCATCATCAGCAATGTCAATAAAATAATAAAAAAAATAAAGTTATGTCACAACTCACAATTTGTATGAAAAGATATTTTCTTTGTCCCCATATATCAAATTCTAGTTATCATTATAGATTCAACATATAATATTAAAATTTTAAATGAAATAATTTATTAGATATTTCCTTTGTAATTTTGCAATATTTCATAATTTTATTGCTTTGAAATGACATTAACTTGTATTAAATTTTTGTTTTTTAATTACTGTATTTATATATTAATGTTTATCCAAATTTGGTTTTCTTGTGAATTTATTTTGACGATTTTTCTTTTTTCATAATGTATTGATTTAATTCTGGAGTATTATTTTTTAAATAAATACTTTTAAGATGATTGCATAAAAATAGGTGTTTTCTTCTTTTTTTTTACGTGATTTCATAATGCATCGTATTTTTGCCTGGGTCATTTTTGTGCGGCTAAGGCAGAACACTTGTTATTAATTCATTGTATTAAGTGCGGCGTGAGATTATTTTTTATCAAGTAATGTTGGATTATTTGTCAAATATTCCTTTCAATTAAGATTAATAAAAAATATTGTTACCTTTATCCACAACTTTTAAAACACGGGTAGTGGCATGCAAATTAACAAATAAAAAATATATTATTGATGTTAAAATGAGTAAGAAGAAGTAATAATAATTGTGAGTCACAAAAATGTTATTATACATATGATTTGAAGCTAAAATGGTGTGTCATAGGAGAAAATATAAAGTCAAAAAGTTCAAATAAATGGAGTTTAAATTATTTTAACAAAAAAGAAATTTCAAAAATATACTCCGTAGTATTCATTTCAAGACCTTTCTTTTTTCTAACATTTTCCTATGCCTAGTTTCTTCTAACCACTTCTAGTTTCTTTTTAATTCTTCCAGTTTCTTACATCTTTTTCCAGGTTTTTCCAACTCCTAGTTTTTTTCCAACTCATTTGAGTTTTTTTCAACTCCTTTTTCAGTTTTTCTTCCGACATCCAACTCTATTTTTTCACCCTAAAAGAATAGGCCCTTGTAGCCTAAAAATTAGTAACTGGTACAGATATTTTAGGAAGAGATAGTTGATGGATTACATGGGTCCATATTTTTTTATGTTAGGCATACTTAGATTCAGAATTATCTTTGTCTTGGAGGTTTCTCCATCTCGAATTGGACTATTATATCCATCTCCGTAAGATTCCAGCAGTAGTGTATCCATTTTTGTTTCATTTTTCTGCCATATCTATAGCTTGTATCAAGTCCTTTCAATCCAATATGTTGGTGAATACTTGATCTACCACCGTCCCACTACACGACCCACGGAACACCCAACCGTCATGCTTTGTCTCCAAACCCCATAACTGATACCCTAGCTGCTCAATGAGCACTATAGAATCTTGGCCTGATACAGACACCCATTTGTGTTCTTCGACTGCAGTTAAGATTAAAGAAAAAGAACCTGCCGTTGCATTGAGAGAAACTCGTAGATCACCTGATGAGTTCTTATACAATGTCAAACAGTAAGGATCAGCCCAAGAATACCGTCAGGAATTTGCCAGACTGCATGGTGTTTCAGTTTGCCAGATCAGTGCCTACTTGCTGTTTTCCTAAATGAGCTGAATGAAGAATTCAAATCTGTTGTCAGAATTCACAAGCCTAAGTCAACTTATTAAGCTATGATGTTTGGCTTTAGAAATTTAGTCCTAAATGGATTTAAAAGCCTTCCTAGGATTTTACATCATTTTACTCTCAGAAAAAACTGGACCAAGCTCTTTCATTAAAGTAGTTAAACCCCCTAAACAACAATGACCCAATGAGATCTGGGGAGGGTAGGTATACATTGACCTTATGATGGAACCTGGCAGGTTTAATTCAAGTTCTGAATTAAACAATTTCTCATCTCTCGCAATAAGAGTCACACAAAAGAAAGAGTATGATTCATGAGAATCTTAATAAAGAAAATATGATTTATTCTTCATGCCTCTTAATGTAAAAGGTGCAAGGTATTTAAAGGGAAAGATTCAACAACTTCGCCAATTAAAGTGGATCTTAGCAACCTAGAAAACCCTAGGAGTTAATAATACTTGGAAGACTCCTACAAATACTGGGGAGTCTTTTTATTCTTCTTCTAAACACAATACACCTAAAGCATAAAATTCTTGCTTGCATTGAAACTCATCCAATTGATGATCAACTTTCAACTAATTAGCTCTACTCCAATTAGCCTTTCCATGCAATTGAAATGTCTTTGTTTAACCTCTACATGGGTGGAGAAGCCATTTAAATCTCAACTTCATATAATATGCAACAATATGCAAATCATGATGTAGATGGTGATCCCATTTCTCATCAATAGTTTTCCTTATTTCACTGTAGGAAGAGTTTTGATTACCCAATTTTTTGGCAATTTTTTCTTTTGTGGTATCTATAGGCCATAGCCCCATAAATGATCCCCATCGTAGGTTCGCCCTCATCAACGAGTCTCAATACTTTCACTAAAAGCTTTTTACATTTGATCACATAAGCAACATCAGGCCAAAAAACTATCATCTCTTTCAAAACAAACATTCTCTAAAGTCAAATACAAGGTTGCAGATCTTGTAATACCTGGTCGAATAAGATCTTTCTAAACAACCTTCTTCACGACTTGCAATACCTATCCACGGTTGTAAATGAAATTGTAATTTGTAAACCTTCTTTTCTTTCAATAAAACATGTTTGTGTTGTGTGGGTTCTCCAATTTGCTCCAGCGTGAGATCAATACAATGTGCGGTGCATGGAATCCAATATAAGTATTTCCTTTTCTCCATTAGTTATTTCCGTGCCGCTTTGTACGCACTTGCACTGTGTGTTACAAATAACTTCATGCACAAGTATTTTTTTCAACAACACCATTAAGCAGCTTGAACAAGTAGGTTGCATCTTTAGCTGGATCATATGCATTAATAGATCTTAGGAAAGCAGTCCGAAACTGGCTATTGACAAGGATAGTTAAAATATCTCTATTTCTCATGTCACTTAAACCATATGACATAATTGTCACTCTCCATATCTTTGTTACTCCTTCCAGAACTTTGTTAGTTTTGTTCTTCACTGCTTTCATGATCTACTATGTAAAGAGCTCCATAGTTGGTAAGGCGGCAAAGCGAGGCGCCAATCATAGTTATTACGGCGTCGCCTAGGCGTCCAGTCGGAACTTTTTTCTCGCCATGCTCCTTCGACTCGACTTAATTTCCGGAGCTCGCCTAATCGTTGCCGCAGAGACGCCTAGACGTCCAGGCGTAGGGCGACTTACGCCGTGAAATAAAAAAAATTCCTAGCCCAATTGATCTTAGATGTCCAGCCCAATTATTTTTTTTTTAAAATAACTTATCTCAAGCCCAATTGATTTTAAAATATCAAACCTACCTCAATAATCCAATCGTCACTGCGTATTCTCTCAATCTCTCGGTCGTCGTTCTCTCTCGGGCACTTCGCGGTCGTCCTTCTCTGGAGCTGAATTGGGTCGTTGTTCTGTCTGCCTCACTTCCTTCTTGACTTCGAAAATCCAGCCTGAAAATTACAGCGGCTCTCTCCAGTCTCCCTCCACCGTAAGTCTCCAAATTGATGACTTTGGCCAAGCACCACCGTCCCCTCATCATAGTGCCCAAAATGCAAGCAATGACGTTTTTGATTCAACGTGTCTTGAAGATTTTTGAGACTTTGTTGTCAAGCAATGACTTTTTCAATTCTACTTTTCTTGATGGTTTTTGAGACTTTGTTGTGACATAATTTCTATCATTTGGATGTTAAATTTTGAAATTTGAAATTTAAACTTTATCTACATCATATTATGTGATATATTTATATCAGTGTATGTATAGCAATTATCATTTACTACTAGTCGCCTTATAGTCGCCTAGGCGGGCGCCTAGACGCCTAGGCGTCATGGCGTTACACTGGCGCCGCGACTCGCCTTGGCGACGTGATAACTATGGCGCCAATGTACGTTCATATCGCCTAGGCGACATACATACATACATACATATCTATATATATATATATATATATATCTTATACATTTTAAGGAAGCTTGATTGAGAGAGAGAGAGAGAGAGAGAGAGAGAGAGAGATTTAAGTCTATTAGGCTACACTAAGAGAAATTTTAA